TGTCGGTTAATAGGGCAATCAACCCAGCTGATCTCACAAGTTATGCCAGCCATGCACCACATCCCAAGGTGGGCGGTCGTAGCGGGGCCAGGCGGCGATAGCGCATAGTACATGCCCTGGGGCCTTATTACTGCGCCGTTTCGGGTTTTGAGTGTGGGAACATCTCTACGGGTGCGTAACCAAGTACAGGCATGACCGAAAGGGTTGGTTTGGTCAACTAATCCCGACCTTTGCCTTTAAGTATCATAAAATTTTAGAATGAGTTACATCATTCAGATCCATTGAAAGCACGCATGCTGCTTGAAGGCGGAATTTACCTGTAAAGTTCATTGGAAATAAGGGTAGAGGTGGTTTGTGGAACAGGGAAGAACCCTACGCTCTCACTGCTATCTAATCACTCGCCGCGTATAGACCTGTGGCGAGTGATTAGATAGTCGGTGGGCGTACCGCGCCAACCGCGCCAAGAGTGAGCCATGCTAGATCGCCGAGGTCAAATCTTTCGCTGCCAATTGCGTGTCAGTCCGCACCCTCAGGAGGTCCGCCTGTCTCCCCACTAGGCAATTTTCCCTTCTTCGACCTTCGTTCTTATCGTGGAATCCCCTTTAACACATTGACGACAATGCGGCTGTAGTGTTTTTGGCCGTGACCGACGCAATTTTGCGACCGCACTTGTCGCGGTATAAATATCCGCACGGTCCAACAAGGCGCGATTTTCGGAAGCTGGATAGTATAAAAAGTTGCAAGAGCGCTACTGAGTGGTTTTGCTATAATACTGGGAACAGGCACAAAATGGCTACCTTTTTAGAAGTTTTGATTGAGTAAAAGTCTGTTCAAGAATATGAAATGGGTGGAATTGAAGATTTTGTTGAACGTGCATTGCTTCATTACATTACATTACATTTCTTCTACTACGATACTAGCCCCCGTCAACCGCCGGAACCTTCCTTCCCTGCATACACTTTACGTCTTCCGCTATGGTGCCTTCCACCTATGACACCGACACTTTGGGAAAATAGGGGTAGAGGTGACGCGTATGCTCAAAAAAAGTTTTCGGTGATTGGTTTTCCGCCTGCGCTCCACATCCTCCCCTCTTCCCTCCACTGCCCTACGGATGTGTGAACTTAGAATATAGCTGTATGCGGTAAGCCAACTGAAGGGCCACCGTAATGTGCCTCGCCCTTCTCAGACCTGCCTTTCCTGAGTTTTCGCCCAAACAAAGTGATTACAAATATATCGTGATAAAGGTTGCATAATAATTTGCTCCCTTGCAGCAATACCCTTCAAGGCAGTATCCGTTGAACAACTTTGAGTGATTTGTACTCTAAATTTCTTATTTTAAACCAGTTTTGCTCCGCCCGCTATCGCGCGCATCACACGGCAGGCTTTAGCGAAACTGGAGGACCCATGGAATATCAGCATGAGGTCCTCCATAACCACCTCACTACTGAATGTGTTTGTCGGTGATTGATAACTCTCTGAGAGTTTTTTCGCCACGCGGGATTTCTTGCGGGTATTGTTTACTATTGTTTTTGTAGCTCTTGATAGCATTGATTGGAGTTTACTGGAAAGTAGGAATATTCAACAGTTTTATTGAATAGTTAGAAATAGTGATCAACAGGAAATACCGGAGATTCTGGCGCAGTCCTGGCGATGGCAGACGTATTGGGTGGCGACCCAACTCCTCGAAGAATATGAACTGAAGTTCTGAGACCTCCGAGCGGCCTTTTATACCCCTATTTTCCCGCTCGATCAGGGTGGTCGATATGTGACCACCCTGATCGCCATGGCCGTCTCCTACCTGACGTTAGGTTGGTTAATGAAACACAAACGAATCTAATCGATGAATAAGGTAGCGATTTCGCTACAGTGTTATACCTTTCAAAATTCGCTGAAGTCCATCGAGAATACGCGTGATAACGTCTGGAGCTGAACTGGTACATATTTATCTCACAACTGTAAACATCCAGCATTTTTCTTGAATTCAGATAATTTAGCGGTGAATAGGATTGCTGTCAGTCTCAAAATGAAAATGAAATATGCCTATTTACATAAGTGAGGAGCTAAGGCTTATCATTTATTTACATTCACCATTATTTAGAACCCCGAAAGGATTAGCGGTTTAATGAGTTTGGGCTTTCTTGATAGAAATGAAACTTATCATTTGCTGAAGACTTGATTGAGTTTATGCAATCGACTGCTATTAAGTAAGCTGGTCATACGATACAATGTGCACGTACCACTACAAATAGAATTTGTAAGTAGGGACGCTCTAGTGTCAACGCAAGCTACGTAACGGAATTGACGACTTTTGCGTTCTGACGCGCCTTATCAGCCCTTATCAGTTGCAATCACTTTCAATCACCCACCAACAATGTCCCCGTCCCACCCCACATAACACTTGTAAGTATGGACGCTCTAGGTGTCAACGCGAGCTGGGTAACGGAATCGACGACTTTTGCGTTCTGACGCGCCTTATCAGCCCTTATCAGTTGTAATCGCTTTCCATCACCCACCAACAATGTTCCCACCCCACATAACACTTGTAAGTATGGACGCTCTGGTGTCAATGCGAGCCAGGTAACGGAATCGACGACTTTTGCGTTCTAAC